GGTGGCTCTTTGCACTTGTCTGTAAGACCCATGGTATCGGCCCCCGCCTTGGCAATGAAAGACCATGATACGACTCATGGCATAATGGCAAGACCATGATATGATTCATGGCATAATGGCATTACTATGGCTGACACATAGCATTCTCTATTGTATGTATGGTATGTGGTATTTTGCGTAACTCACTAAGTTTGCTTACGGTTTATTGTTTATGGTTTCAGGTACTTCTGGTTCAAAAGGAAAGGGTCAGACTTGATAGCAATGCATCCACCCATGTTTTCACATCTTGATGATTTTGAGATTGTATAATGATAACTGTTTTTATAAAACACTTTTGAATGTTTAGAAAAGGATTTTTGATTGTTGAATTAAAGATAATTAATTATTTGGTTGAATTAAAATTGAAAATTTTACCTCATAAATTTGGAACGTTACAAAATACATAAGATTACAAAAGGATTATTATGAGTGATCTGCCTAACTCGATTTTAACTTCAATAGACGAATTTTTGAGACACGACTATGATGAAACTAGGGAAGTGAGATCGGGATCGTAGTTTGATCAAGATTGTTTTTCACCTGTAGGATTTAAAATCGTAAAATTTTATGATCAAAATCAGGATTTTAACAACCTTGCTTTGTTGTGTTGTTCATTAAGCCAAAAACTGAACCAAGTCACGTCCAAATCCACTCTCCTTTTGTGGTGCTGTTCATTAAGCCAAAAACTGAACCAAGTCTTGTCCAAATGTACTCTCCTTTGGTCAGATAAAAAATGAAAAGGTTAGGAAGACACCCCTAATATTTCAGCTCAATCCAACAACGTTTGCCACTCTCCCTCTGATTATTTTATAGAAGACCACACAATGTTTCTAAAAATCAGAAAATTCCTTTATATTGTTTTTTTCTCCTTGATTGCGGATGTAGTTACAGGACTTCACAAGTGGTTGCAAGGCTCTTGATGTGGCTTTAACAATGCTCAAAAATACCATCTTGCGTATACAAATCTACACAAAATTTAACTTAAACTAGTAAAAATATTCAAAACAATAAATCTAAAGATTTAATGGAAAAATATTAAAAGAGCTAAAACTTGAATAAATTGTATGCTAAAATAAATACAAAATTATAGCTATCACAACATCCTTACATATTTTTTTTGAACAAGGTAATTATATTACAAAAAAGCAAGCGAGAAGCTAGAGATACATGTTATTTATACATTCAATACACGGTTCATTACACCAATTCATCCATTCAAGATTTTCACAGTTTTTAGATCTAAATTTGACCCAATTGAAAACCATGACTCGCTAGCTAACTCTTAGCTACTTTTAGATTTAGACTTGAAGATCAAGTTGTTCCTGTAGTTCCAAATAACCTCCTTACATATTTAGTACATATAAATGAATAAGTTAATATTTAATAAGTTTGCGTGATTTTAGTATGGATTTTTTATGATTAGAACGTAGTTCCAAACAAAGAAGTGTCCTTTAGCAATTAATATGAGGTTGAGCATCATAGATGCAAAGATGTTGCATATGCTCCTTCAGTATGAGCAGTTTTCTTTTAGTTCATTTTTCTACATATGAACATTTACATTAGAAAAACATTTGCCAAGTTATTTTACATAGATTTAGCACATTAGTAGCATTATTTTTATAAAACAACATGCAAAATGGTCATGTTTACACCTCGCACGAAGGTAGTGATAATATTAGGATTTAGGGTTTTTATTGTAAAATCATAATTACGTGTGCAAACTTCAAGTTCCCACCATCAAACAAATACCTCTAATCATTCACGGTTCTTTAAACACATGCAAGTGAGGAAAAGAAAACACTTGACATGCAAAAGTGTAAACCAAAAATCTATGATCAAATTCAATAAACACGATTGTTAGGTAATCTTGATGGGTTATGGGTCAAGGATGAGGAGTAATCCACGGGTCACCAGTCATGGAGTGGAGTAGTGGATCACAGTTGAATAGTTCATGCCGGACTAAGTATTTAGAAAGTGGGTGTTACCAAGTCTTTGATTGACAGAGTATTATGGAGAATAAGGAGGAAATAGTTGCATGTTTATTTTCTTTCTTTTGTTTATAGTCCGTGCCATTGTGGTAGTGGTGTAGCAGCTGAATTGTTTATTCTATAGTGTAGGATGTTTTTTAATAGATGTAATCAGTTTCCATTTGCAAGTAAATATAAACACAAAGAAAACCCAAATAAGGTTGAGCAATACATGAGAGTCGATAGTTGCAGGCTTGCATCTGGGTTTAAAGGAAGGCCTAGTTTCCAACAATTGGTATTAGAGCACAAGGTTAGGTTGAAGGGGCTGTGGGTTTGTTCCAAGAAATAGCATGCAAGAAATTCATAACAAGCAACAAGCAAGAAGGTTGACGCATAGTCTCTAGAAAGTAACAGGAAAGACAATGATAACAAGTAGAATGTTTTGGGTTTGTAGCAAGTAGCAAACAAGAAAAAAAAATGCAAGAAGCAAGAACGAGATAGGAAAAAAGAAGGTAGCAAGAAGCAAGAACGAGATCAAGAAACGAGTTTTTTTTTTTTTTTTTTTTTTTTTTTTTTTTTTTTTTTGTTTGAACTCGAAGTAGAAGACGGTTGTTTGGTATGAACTGTGGCGTTCTTCATTCTGGGTTCAAATTCGGAATGATGTTGGTGGTGGCAGAAGGAAAGTAAATGGCGTAGGATCTGAGTATGGAATATCCAATTCTAAACGTGGTAGTCACTTTGGTAACCGTAGTTCAAGTGGTAAAAAAGGCGAGAAGAAGCACAAGTTCTCAGACTACAAACTCGAAGACAAGGAAGGCATCATAGATAAGATCCATGGTAATCAGCATGATGGAAAGGCAATTGAGAATCAAAACTGAGAAAAGAGCATAAAGAGTAGCAAATCAGAGAGCACACAAGAGAAAATTCAAAGCAAGATGACTGGGTTTGTGAAAGCAAGAAGATATCAATTTTGCAATGATGAAGAGGCTCAGGTCAAGATCATCAAGATTACGGGGGTGAATGTTGGGTAATTTTGATGGGTTATGGGTTAAGGATGAGTTGCGGGTCAGTGGCGTGGGTAATCCACGGGTCACTAGTCATGGAGTAGTGGATCATAGTTGAATAGTCCATGTTGGACCAAGTATTCAGCAATTGGGTGTTACCAAGTAATGTGATTGACCGAGTATTATGGAGAATAAGGAGGAAATAGTTGCATGTTTATTTTCTTTCTTTTGTTTGCAATACGTGGCATAGTGGTAGTGGTGTAGCAGCTTAATTGTTTAGTCTATAAATAGTGTAGGATGTATCTACTCTAATAAATGAAGGGTTTTTTTTGACACATGTCATCTTTTCCTATATTTGGGACACATGCCATTTTCTAGAATTTTTAAATTTTCTATTTTCCACTTGTCATTTTATTATATTTTTCATTTTATTAAATGAAAATTCCACATTTAATATGTAAGGTAATATATATGTAAGTTATTTATTAGAAAGAGTTTATATATGTAATGTATTCAATACATTAAAGCCTCATTAATTTTAATAATTCAAAATTTTTCTTATTTTTTATACAAATTCAAACTTTTCAAATTATTAGAATTTCATATTTAATTTTTTTTTTATAATAAACTTATGTAATACATGGTCTCACACTAGTTTTTTAACAAATGTAATTAGTTTCCATTTGCAAGCAAATATAAACATAGAGAAAACCCAAATAAGGTTGAGCAATACATGAGAGTCGATAGTTATGGGCCTGCAGGTGGGTTTAAAGGAAGGGCTGATTTCCAAGATGATCAATGAAAAAGCATGGATTTCCAAAACTAGGATGCAAATAGTAGATTAAGTGGACACATTTTTTAACTATGAAGTTCAATGATAATGAGGAGAGATACTAATGGTTCTTTGTAGAAGTTATCAGGCAGCCAGTGATGGCATGTGCCTCAAGAGCCGATGAAGATCTAAATTAGTTTGAATTTTGAAAACTGTTTATATACAGGCCATATGTAGGTTATCAATCTCAATCAGTTTGATATGTAAAAATGCTACTATTTCACCAACAAACCCAGATGAGGAAAGCAGTATTGCAAAAATTGGCCTAGGTGGCCAATTACTCGTCCGATTAATCAAAATCAGATAGGGGCCGAAGTGTCTAATTAGGAATCGGTCAAAAAACTCGGAATCGGTCAAACCTGGTCAAAATTAGTCGAATTTGGTTAAAATAAAAAAGAATTGGAAAAAAAACTCGGAAAATTTGACTTTTTTTTTAGAAAAAAACCTATAATTGTTATTAATATTAATCTAGTTTGTTCTAATTTTTAATAAACTTGTTTTATATATATATATATATATATATATATATATATATATATATATATATAATTTTCTTAAAATTAGGTTTATATAATTTATCCAATCCGAGTACTCCCTGAGTACTCTCCGCCTAGACCGAATACTTGCAAGGCGCTAGTCGACCACCCTGGGAACGCATAACAAGTTTTGCAATTGGAAGAAAGTATGGGTGCACATTCGAAGAAAGTGGAAAGGAGTCATGTACCGGAGAAGGAATGGTGAGAGGGGGAGGGAGATGTCGAAGAAGTTAGGAGGTTGGAGGGGAAGGGTGGCCGAGGAACATGAAGGTAAGAGGGGTGGGGTTGGCCCTTTACAATTTAATAAAAAAGTTAAATGAAATGAAATGGTTATAATAGGTGTAGCTAATGAGCAAAGTATTAATTTCCAGTAACACATGAACCTAAACCAAAAACACAATGAAACCTGCTAAAAAGTTTATTTTTTTCGATTTATTTAGGGACCAAAACCAAAGAAAATTGGGAAACAATTTTTTTTTTGTTTACTGTAGGTTAATATATTTATCTCAAACATAAGGTAAAAAAAGAAAGATAATGACAAAAGACTTGTTGATAGTTTATTCAAGAGAAAACCGAAACCTAAATCGATACTTTGGATCTTTCTTTAATAGAAGAGCTTTACTTAGTTGAAACTTGAGAGAGGTGATGAGAAAACTGGGATACTTTGTGGGTGCCTAAAGAAATTATGTGGATCAACTTTGGCCTTGATTCGAATTAACTTCTTGAAATTGTCCCTCTTCCAGTACCTCTCGCCCCAAACACTTGCTTCCTCATAATTAGCATTTCCAACACCCAACTCAAGATCATTGTAGTTGAAATAGGCCTCTCTCGGGTGTTTTGACACATAAGGGGTCAATAACTCTTCCAAGCTTTGCAGCCAAGCTAACCTTGAGAGCGATGTAGGGGTCGTGTCTGATGTTTGACCGTCAAAATATACAGACTTGAAAACCTGTAACAGCACCCCAACTCTATGAGGATATGGAATTGCTGTCTCTGAGTAATCATTCATCCGCCCGCCAAAAGGATTTATCATCAAAAGCCCTGATCCGTCGTTTTCCATAACTTTACTCCAGATCTTTCTAAGCCCTTTTATGGGGATTGGTGTTCGGACATAGTCTGATTTACCTTTGAATTTCAGCTTGGTTATGGCTGATCGGTTCGTGAGAATCTCGATCGGGGTGGAGCTTGGCAAGCCCCAAAACACAAGTGTCGACCGGACGCTAGTCATTTCTTCACAGATCTCTTTTGTGACACCGAGCTCCGGAAAACGTTCGTCCAAATATAGAAGCAATGCATCACTTGGGCCCTGATAGATTCCTTCAAACAAAATCCGGATGGTTTTCTTGGTACTGTTGCCGATATATTCGCTAAACACCTGAGTTCTTATGTGCAAATTTCTATCAAAAGTTGGAGCAAGGTATTGATATTTATAGAAAATTTTGGTTACACCTTCTTCCAAAGTTTTGTTCAGTAGAAAGACGGTTACTTTTTCTGGAACCGGAACCAACCTCAGTTTCCATGCAAGAACAATTCCAAAACTGGAAGCACCACCTCCTCGAATCGCCCAAAACAAATTTCCACCCATCTTCTTCCTGTTGAGAATGTTTCCATTTACATCCATGAAGCGAACATCCAAAGCATTATCAGCAGCAAGACCGTATTTCCTCAATAGGTTTCCATAGCCACCACCGCCTATGTACCCGCCAACACCCACCGTGGGACAAATGCCTCCAGGGAAAAACAAGGTGTCGGTTTTCTGCGAAATAGCATAATAGAGTTCACCAAGCGTAGCGCCTGCCTGGACCCACACGATGCTGTTTGCTACATCCACATCTATAGACCTCATGTTGGTGAAATCAATCATAACAAACGGCACATCAGCTGTGTACGAGAGGGCCTCAAAGTCATGACCACCACTCCTGATCCTGACCTCGTAGCCATGTTTCTTGGCACAATAGAGAGCTGTTTGGATGAGTGTTTCATTCATAGGTGTCACAATGACCGATGGTTTTGGAGTGGAAGGTTTAAGGAACCTTGTGTTTTGGACTGCAACTTGCCAAATGGGTAGGAAAGAAGCATTGACAGGGGTGAAAATGAGTTGAGAGTCGGAAGTGAAATTGTTGGAGTTGGATTCTATGCAGCTGATAAAATCTTCAGAACCTGGTGTAACATCAAGAATGGAAGATAAGGTAGCCAGGGAAACAGAGAAGTAGAGAGTTAGAGTGAAGAGAAAGACAGATGAATTTAGAAGAGACGCCGTCATGTTTTAATCAATGAGTTTGATTTTATGGTCCTGCGTTCCCATACTTATATATGGAGTGAAAGTGGGTGACTCCAGAACTTTAATTTGCACAAATGTGGGGTTGTGGCACCCCCTACCTCCTCACCAACCCTATATACATGTTTATGGTTATGCTTATTTTGTGTATTACTTGAAACCAACTTTAGACTACTAGGGGCCCCAACTTGATGTTATTAGATGTTGTGTTATTAGGATGTGGTAGAGATAACACCAAAGCAAATCATTTTTTCCTCTTTTTCTCTCTATCTCTCTGTTATAACATGGGGAACACCACCCACACTTCATGTAATAACATGGAACACCGTTACCCACACCCAATAGTCTTATATATACTCATAGAGTTTACATTTGTAGCCCTTTAACTATCATTATAATTATATTTATATAATTTCTATTTTCAGTTTTTATTTTATTTCTTTATAATAATTTATGCATAGACTCATTTGTTTAAAATCTACAGAACCTGATGTAACCTCAACTACTCAAGAGTGGAAGATAAGGCAACCCAGGAAACATAAAAGGAAAGAGTTAGAACAAAGAGGAAGTCAGAATTTAGAAGAGACGTGTTCATCTTTTGGTGAGTTTGAACCATATTTATATAGAATAACTCGGTCAAGAGCGGAGAGGTGACTGAATGTGGGGCTTTAAATAGGTGAATGAAACAGGAATGGCTCTCTTTAATTTGGTTGGCACTCTTTGAAATGGACATGAGAGCAGTTTTATATATATATATATATATATATATATATATATATATATATATATATATATATATATATATATATATAGTGAAGATCAAATAAGAAGGAAAATTTTGGTAAGAAGGTAACAAATTTTTTATATGCATATTTTCTTAGCAAAAAAATGGAATGAATCATTAGGTGATTCAAAAGTAAGATGATTTACAAGAAAGAATTCCGAAAAAAACACTTTTATACTTCATTTTTAGGTAAATCAAGAAAAAAATCACTTTTGTGACAATTTTAGTGAATATCAACAAAATCATCATAAAAATGAATCATCGAAATGTTTTTTCGGGATTTTTTTTGGTGAATCATGTTATTATTGATTCATTTGTTTTGTTCGCAAAAAAAATAAGTCGAAAAAATATTTCTTAACTTTCTACCAAAAAATTTTTCTTACCGGATCTATATATATATATATATATATATATATATATATATATATATATATATATATATATATATATATATATATATATATATATATATATATAGGTTCATGTGAGACGATCTAATTTTGTGAGACCATGAGGCGCATTTTTTTTAAATTTTTTTAAAATTTTTTTTAGTTAATTCAAGTTCTGAAAATAATATTTAAAAAAAGAATTTTTTGATTTTTCCATTTATTTTACATTTTAAAATTATTTTTAGAATATGTACAGTGTAATATTCTATTTAGAATATTTCATGTATTTTAAAAAAAAAATAGAATTTTTTTTTATTTTTTTAGTTAATTCAAGTTCCGAAAATAATATTTAAAAAAAGAATTTTTAGATTTTTCCATTTATTTTGCATTTTAAAATTATTTTTTACAATATGTCAGTGTAATATTCTATTTAGAATATTTCACGTATTTTTTAAAAAAAAAAAACGAGATTTTTTTTTTTTAAAATTTTTTTAGTTAATTCAAGTTCCGAAAATAATATTTAAATTTTTTTTTTTGGATTTTTCTATTTATTTTGCATTTTAAAATTATTTTTAGATTTGATCTGACGGTCTCACAAAATTAGAATGGTTTCAAATGAACCTGAACATATATATATATATATATATATATATATATATATATATATATATATATATATATATATATATATATATATATGAGAGAGAGAGAGAGAGAAATTCATTGATTTAGCATAGTAACTTTGTATTGTTATTTTGTGTTAACATATAGAAATCATTATATATTATGGTTACATATTTATTTTTACCTTAAATTACTATATATAAATAATGTAGAAATTGACTTTTATCCACAATAATTATTTTTCGATCTCAAATAAAAATTTGTATGGGTTGGATATACATATGACTATGAAGAAACTAAACTTTGAATAGAAATTCAAGCGTTAGCTAAACCCCATAATTCTAGCAAAAGATTAAATCCCTTGATTTACAAGGGCAGACAAATTTAAATTAATATTAGTTTATGTTCAACTCGAATATTAGTATAGGATGTTTGTAATGTCTCATTTTTCAACACCAAAATTTTCATTTTTATTTATTCAAAACGTTCAGTTACATCAGAGTATAATTTACATTATGTGGAACATAACTGTGAATGTGCGTGTGAACCTTGCACTTCAAAGAAGTGCCTAAAAAACATTTATAACAACTGGGTAAGCGTTAGATTTAGTGAATTCTCCAAGATACCATATATTACAATACATATACATCTATACAAATGGGCCCCGCCCCAAACTATATAATGGACCCCGCCTGAACTACCTAATGGGCCTTGTCCACATATATAACATGCCTCACCCAAATTGCATGAAGGACCATGTTAATGCATAAGAAGTGAACCTTTAGTAATCTGAACCAAAGCAAATCCAAAGTCAACTCATCAGTCCGAGATGTAAAGAGCTCAGAGCTCTGAAGTCCTTTTGAATCCGAGATGAAGATGTTCCGAAATTTGAGTATGTACAAACATTTAATGTTTTTTTGACTTTAGTTGATGTAACAGTTCTTAGGACTAAATCAAGTAAATATTTTAAGAATCAGAATTATCAAACACTTAGTATGAACTAGTCCTTAGAATTTTTCTCGGTTTGTACCATGTCTCTCCTTTACTATTTAAAGAGTAGATGTTTCATGTAATTGACACCAAGAATAGCAAGTAATCAATATTCTCTTCACATCAGTTTCAAACTCTCTTGCAATTTAAATTTCTTTCTCTTCTAATCAGTTTCAAACTCTCTTGCATGTACTCTATAATTTATATATAACAAATTTAATATTCAAGAAGCCGGGTACCTAAGGACTTCTAACTTACCAAAATATCGTAACTACTAAGGAGAAATTTAGACCAAAAGAGTAGAAATTGAGAGAGAGTGAATTGAATGTTATGTAGGAAGAATGAACTCGAGACATCCATTTATAGGTTGATCATCGACCATGCGTGTCATGCAAGGGTCATGCACGCCACACACAGAGTCGACGTTGCTCCTCAGGATTGCTGACATGCGGCGATCAATGGTTGGAGCAACGTGGCGGCTTTTAGAAGGTCGTGTGCGGGGTGCAGATGCGTGCGACGAATTTCAAACTTTAAAATTGTATAACTTCTTCATATGAGCTCTGTTGTTTACGAGCTCTGTTTTTTACGTTCTTTATATCCACGTCTAGCTATCGATGAGATCTAAAACTTTCTTTTAGACTCTGTTGGCTGATCTTGAATTTATTTATTTCACATAGGCTTATACAGTTAAAGCCCATATAAAGTGCATAACTTCGTCATCCGGAATTCGTTTTCGTCTGTCTTTTTATCGTTGGACTCCTCTTCAACTATCGTTTAGATTGTTTCGGCTAACAATCAACCAGTCTAAAATTTGATATTTGGGTTGTGTACTGCTACACCGAATCTTAGAAAAATCATAACTTCCATCTAGTAAAGTTTAATTTGGACGTTATTTATATGAACGTTATCGGTTTAACGACTACTACGACTTTGGTTTAGACTACTAAGGCTAAAAAGTAATCTAACGAAAATTTACTATTTACAACGTGCATTGCCGAATCGGGTCGAATTACTAAACTTCGATAGACCATAACTTATTCGTTATAAGTCCGATTTAATAACTCCTTATATCCCCGTAATCCTTTCCACAACTACTTCAACTTTCATCAAGGGAATTTGGCCTAATTCTTATTCTATTTTGGACGTGTATTTAATTCTTATTTTATTCTATTGCTGTAAGCAAGTATGCATAAACCATATAATATTCAAATAATTTCCCTTTATTATATCAAATAAGTTACAATTGTTGACCCTAATTATTTAGTTAATGCATAGCGGGAAACGCGGACGTTACATAAAATTACGATTTTTAAGAAAGAATCCATGGAGAGTAGAGAGTGATGGAGATAAATCGGCGGAGTGTTGCGTATTGGTTGTTAATCACAAAGGATGATTGAAAATTACCATGTTATATTCCTTTTTGCTATAATTTTATAATAACGTATGGATTATTTTTATTTTGATATCACTTATGGTAACATATCTAGTTTTTGGCATATTAATGTTTTACACTACTACTAGCAATAACATGGAAAGGATCCTCGAGAGGTACGGAAGACACTCATATGAAGAAAGGAACCTTTCTGCAACCGATCAAGAATCAATTGTATGTATAATACCTACTACTTTTATATGAACTTCATGAAACTTAAAAGATTGACCTTAAACAACACTCATAAATTATAGGGTAATTGGACAATGCATGGAACATGCGAAGCTCAAATCTAGAATTGAAATTTTGCAAAAAACATAGAGGTAAAATATATTAAACCATTTTTTCAATATATCTATGATGGAAAATAATGTATGTTAATCTACTCGTCATAAGCATATTATGGAAGAAGACCTTGTTTCCTTGAGTGTTAAAGAGCTTCAAAACATGGAGCACCAAATTGATACATCTATTGACATATTAGATTGAGAAAGGTATACATAAGCTGCTTTAAAAATCATAAAAATAACATATGTTTTTGTACAATGTTTTAAGCAAAACTTATGTTGTTATTCATAGAATGAGCTTATGGTTGAGACAATTTCTATGCTACAAAAAAAGGTACCGTAAGTAAGGATAGGTACGTAAGTAAGGATATCTTTCAGTTACATAATGTAAATAAAAAAGAAGTGTAATCATGAAGCATAAAAATGACTTTCTTTTTATTACACTTGGTGAATCAATTTATACAATTTAATTAAAAATG